CCTTACTCAGGTGCTATCAGTTTTACATGCACTCATTTATGTGTGCGTATGTGTGCATGTGTGTGTGCATTTAATCTGATGGAATTTTGTCACGTGTTAATTCATGTGACCACCACCACAGTCAATATACAGAACAGTTTCATCACAAGAATCCTTTGCACTAGGCTTTTATAGCTACACCCACCTGCCTCTCGCCCAATCTCACCTCTGACAACCACTAATCTGTTCTCCATCTCTATAATTTCGTCATTTTAAGAAGGCAACATAAATAAAGTCATACAGTATGTAACTTTTATGATTGGCTTTGTTCATGCAATAGGAGTCTCGGGAGCCTCATCCAAGTGACTGTGTATGTTAGTAGTTGCTGAGTCCTGTTCCATAATACAGCAAGCACCATGGTGTGTTTGGCCATTCATTGGTTGAAGGACATCTGAGCTGTTTCCAGATTCTAGCTATTGCAGATAAAGCTGCAATGAGTATTCATATACAGGTTTTTGTGTGAACATAGCTCATTTCTCTGAGATAGATTCCCAAGAGTTCAATTGCTGGGTTGTATGGTAATTGTACGTTTAGTCTTTTAAGAAATTGCCAAATTCTTTTCTAGAGTGGCTGTACCATTTTACATTTCCACCAGTACACGAGTGATCCCATTACTCTACACCCTCAACAGCAGTTGGTGGTGTCACCATATTTTCAGTTTTATTTTTAGCCATTCTGATAGTAGTTAGTGATATCTGGCATTGCTTCGTGGCTCATGATATTAAGTATCTTCTCATGCACTTGATTGTCATCTGGATATTCTCTTCAGAGAAATGTCTTTTCCCCATGTTCTAATTTGATACTTTTTTTTAGCATTGAGTTCGAAGACCTCTTTATATACTCTAGGAACTAGCACTTTGTCAAATATGTGCTTTACAAACATTTTCTCCCTATCCGTACTCTTCACCTTCATCAAGTCTTTCACTGACTGAGAGTTTTTCATTTTGATGAGGTTCAGCTTATCAATTTTCCTTTTTATGAATCGTGCCTGTGGGGTTCAGCCTAAGAGCTTTTCATCTAATCGTAGGCCCAGAATATTTTCTCCTATTTTTTTCCTAAAGGTTTTGTAATTTTTTATTTTATATTTAAGTCCATGATTCATTTTGAGTTAATTTTTCAGGTGTGAGGTATCACTTGGTTCATTTTTTTTTTTTTTTTTTTTTTTTTTTTTTTGCTTAGGAATATTCCTAGTATATACCTAAGGAATGTAACCTTTAAAAACATACCTAGTATTTAGGTATATTTTATGAATGATAATCATAATAACCATTTCAAAAGGTGGCTGTAAGAATTATAACCTTTAAAAATATGCCAGGTAAATTATACTAATAGGTATATTCTACTAATATTATAATACTGTTACATTAGTATAATATTATACTAATATACTAAAATACATATATATATATAGTTTTTTTTTTTTTTTTAGCTGAATTCTCACTCTGTTGCCCAGGCTGGAGTGCAGTGGCACAGTCTCAGCTCACTGAAACCTCCGCCTCCTGGGTTCAAGCAATTCTCCCGCCTCAGCCTCCCGAGTAGCTGGGATTATAGGCATGTGCCACCATGCCTGGCTAATTTTTTTGTATTTTTAGTGGAGACAGGGTTTCACCATGTTAGCCAGGATGATCTTGATCTCCTGACCTTGTGATCCACCTGCCTCAGCCTCCCAAAGTGCTGGGATTATACGTGTGAGCCACTGTGACTGGCCTGTACTAGGTATATTTTTAAAGGTTATAATTCTTACAGCAACCTTTTATAGTGGTTATTATGATTATCATCCATTTTACAGATGGAAAAACCCAGCAAGATTTGGTAACATGGCCAAGGTTAAACAAATGCTAAGTGGTAGAAAGAAGCCAGGTTTCAATGCAGGTCTGACTGACTAGCATTTAAACCCTCCAGCATTTAAACCCTGTTCCTATTGCCTCATTCAATCTTTTTCACTCTGGGAGTCTTGTTTCCTGAACAGATGTTCCAGTTTCCTGCATACATTCCTTTATCCTGACCAACCTCAGTACACAAGCTACCAGAGGCTGGAGCCTGCCAGAACCTGCCCAGAGTTCTCCGTGACATGTTTGCAGGTGGAGAACAGGAGCAGACCGGAAAACTTCCCTGTATGCAAATAGCTTGTCATTCTGGTTTGGGGAAAGGCTCACATCATAGTTCAGCATCTTCTCAAGTATTACAGAGCTACTCTACAAGCTCACTTGTCTGGAAGGGGCAGGCTAAAAATTTTAGGTTCCCCAAAGACAATCACACATACACACAAAATTCATTTAATAATTACAGGTCCAGGACATTTCCATTCTCAACCTGCCTAAACAAGATACACTGATAGACGTCAGTCTGAAGGACTCAGAGCATTTTGGGGTGAAACTTCTATGGCTAGAACCTGTTCTTTGCCCCTTTTGGTGGGTGTGGGTCATAGTTGGACTATAACCACCTCATTTTCCAGTCCCATTTGTAGGTAGATATGGGTAAAGCTAGAGTTTCAGAGGTGTTTTGTTTGGGATCCTGGTGACCTGCCTTGAGCCCTGGGTGTCCCCTACTCCAGAAACAATGCTTTCTTCAATATTCCTGTGACAGTCTCCGCGGGCAGACGATGGCAGCTGCTGGTTACTTCGTTGCCCTGGAGAGCTACTTTGGGTATAAGCGGATCAATGGGAACTGCTGAACCGACTCAGCCCATTCACCCCTGGTATTTCCTCCAGGAGCTGAGACAGGTCTCACTGAATCTCAAAGATATGGAGCTCAGTCAAACTTCCGCAGGGCTAGGTGGCTGGTCACCTACCCAGTCTCCGTGTTCACCCTCCCAGTAGAGGGTATGAAACTTCTTTTGACTTCCAGTTCTCCCTGATGGTAATGTCCTTTGTTACCTTCCAAGCTTCTCTGGCGGAGGCTTTGAAACCCATCAGGGAGGGTTTGAAACCCATCAGCAGGGCTGCTCCAGAGGCAATGGGTTCCATCGTGCCCTTCCTTGCTGCAGCCAAAGCAAGCGGGGGACCTCCCTCTGACATATTTGGGGGACATGTCCTGCTCCAGATGCAGTTTCCATCACCTCTACTCTCTTCCAAGGAGCACAACTCTCTCTCCCTTCTTTTTATTCATAAAAGGTTACTCCCTGGTCCTCCCTTGGCCAACCCACTTCCATAGAAACTAAGAGACCTGAGTTTGAATACCAACTACCACTTACTAGCTATGTGTCCATTGACTAACTTACTGTCTTGAAGCCAGTTTCCTCTCTATAAACAGGGAGATGTTGACCTCATAACACTGTTGCAGATTTAAACAAGATAATGTTTGTAAGGTAATGCAGTAACTGAAGGAGTCACTGAAGGAGTCACTGATCCTGGAACAAAGTTAATGTTCAATTAATAGTGGCTATCACTGGTTCCTATGACAACTGTCGCCAGGCCCAATCTTTGGTCCTTAATCTGTTTGCCAGAATTCATCCTGGAAGTTGCAGGTAAGTTGTTATGGAGGGAGCAAGTTCTCCAGCTTCCACGGGGAGTGTTTCTTCGCCTATCATGCCTACATTGTTCCCTGGGAGTCTAGTGGGCTTGTGGCATGGATGAGGGGCTCTACAGGCCTGAATCAGAGGCAAGGCACCTCTTCCTCTGGTAGGTGGGCCCCTCAAGCCTGAAGATGGTCACTCTGAGGGCTCCCTGTGGACTTCAGTCCACCTTACCCAGCTGTAGGTGAGAAATGGCTGACCCTGCACTGTGAGGCCACAGTTCCTCCAGCTACACCTGTCTCTAGGCGATGATTCACATGTCAGTGCTCCTGGGGAGACCCATCTGTTCAAGCACTTGCAATTTTCCCTTCTCTGAGAGTCTTCAAGGTGAGAGGGCAATCCCATGGACCCAGGACCCAGGGGAATCTCCAGGCTCAGCACTGGGAATTCTTCCTTTCTTCTCACTTGATCCCTAGACTTTTAAAGCAAGGTGCTGCCCACAGTCGATGCCAGGAAAGAGGAAGGGAGCAGGCAGTTCAGAGAAAGGCAGGGGAGCCCGCCAGGATGTGCGGCCGTGCTTCTCCAGAGACGGCCCCTCCTCTGCCATCTGGGTAACTTTCCCCACCAGGACAGTTTCCTGACTGTGCAGTGGCCAGTTGTGCCTCTACAGGCACATTTTCTCCCCTTCTGCCCCAAGTCTCTACCCTGAGCCCTCAGGCCAGCCCTTTGACAGCCCCAACACAGCGGAGTGGTCCTCCCAGCTCAGCCTGACCTCCTTCCAGCAAATGAGGCCCTGGTCATGCTCCATCTAGAGCCACCTCTTATCTCTAGCAACAAGCTGCCCCTAGTAACGAGGCCAAGGAGGCCACCACCCCCGTGGCCACCCCAAGGCTAGTGTCCATCCCTCTGAGGTTTGGTGGAGCGCAGCCCCAGGAAGGGAGTCCCGTGCAGACAGGAGACCAGCCTTCCCTGCAACTCTGTCCCTGCTGACCTCTCCTTGGTAACCTTTAGCACACCAAAGCTGGCTGGCTAACAAACAATCAAAACCCCAACAAAAACAGAGAAAACGTGAAACCAGTCAGACCAACAAGATTCAGACCAGAAAATCCCCATTGGAAGTGTTCGAGTCCCGTACTTGATGGATAGGGGCAAGGGTCACCCTCTTGAGTGAATTGCCGGAATACACAAACCGATTTCACTTAGCGCTGGGCCTCAGTAAACTGGGTCCAACTTCTCAGGCTGGACTTCTTCCAGCTTCGCGACCCCTTCTTCTCCCAGCACCCCTCCCTGGAGAAAGATGGAGAAAATCAAAGGCTGAGACAGGGAAAATGCGGGGGCTTCGGAGGGACATACCCTCTCCACAGGCCCAGGTCGCTCCATCCCTGCTGGGGCCTCAGGGCTCAGCTCTGGGATCTCCCCACCTTTGCCGGGCAGGAGCAGCTCCTCTTGGGCGGGGAAGGAGGCAGGGCCGGCTCGCCTCGGGGTTCCCCTCTCCCGACCCGACCGGAGGAGCAGGAAGCGGCGGCTCCGAGGCCCACCCAGGCTTCAGCCCCAGCGGGGAATGCGCGGCGCGGGGAAGGGAAGAGAAGCGCAGGGCGGCCGCGCCGACCCCATGGCCGCCGACCCCACGGAACAGCGGCTGGGCAGCCTCCCCGTCTTCACGCGCGATGACTTCGAGGGCGACTGGCTCCAAGTGGCCAGCGGCGGCTTCAGCCAGGTGTTCCAGGCGCGGCACAGGCGCTGGCGGACGGAGTACGCCATCAAGTGCGCCCCCTGCCTCCCGCCCGGCGCCACCAGGTACCTGCCCGCCGCGCCCTCCCCTTTCTCGGAGAAGAAACTGAGGCCGGGCAAGCTTTGGGCCAGGGAGCTTGAGAGGGAGGAGTGGGCTGAGGCTGGGGCTGAGGACTGTCCCCCGCGGCGTTTCTGAATTGCACGCAGTAGCCTGAGCCTCCCAGGCACAGCCATACCTGTCTCCCTACCCGAAATAGAGTCGGCACACAATCCCTGTTGGTGGACTCCACAGAGGTCAAAGGCAAGCGGGAATTACCCACCAGAGACGCCTCTGTCCATCTGACCTTCCGAACTCGTCCTGCCTCCTTCCCTCCTTCTTGTCTCTTGACCACTCTCTGCCACCCTCCTACCCACCCCAGCTCTCAGGGCAGGGCTGTGGTTCCTGGGAGGCTATGGCACTTTGCTCAGTGATCTGCAGGGAATCATGTTCTCTCTTCCCATGGTGGGGGGTGGGGGGTGACCCCTCCCAGCCAGTGCAGTCTGGGGAGGTTAGGGGATGGAGACTGCCAGGCCTGATGGCCTGTCCAGGCTCCTAAAGGATCAAGTCTGGAGCTCTCTGATCTCTGTTTTTGTATTTGTCCCTTGCTCTCATCATGCGCACTACAGCCATGCCTTGCCATGACCTCATTTTTCTCTTCCTACCTCTTTCCCACTGTTACCACTGTCTCTGCCTTCCAACTGAAATGGGCTCCAGTCTCATTTCCACCTGAGTTGCATATACTAGCTGTGTGCTTGCACCTTACAGCCATGAAGAAGACATTTGGGATGTTAAATCTGAGCATGATAACCATGTCCTCCTCCCAAGGCTCTGGGACATCAATTAGAGAGCCTGGGGTGGGGGGCCTCTGTGACTGGCATCTGGCTTGGATGCTATCTGTGGTTCTCTGGGATTACGATGCAAACTCTTAAGACACAGCCTCAGGTGCCACACACTCAATTCCCAGATCTTCACCCACCTCATGAAGAGAGGAAAAGTGAGATTGCCTAAGGCTCACTCACCTTCCTCCCTCAGCATCTGCCTGTTGGTTTTGGAAGAGGGTCAGATTATGCTAGGATTTGTCCAGATCATTTATAGCCTTTGAAACGCAGAATGAAATGAAACAGATGGCATTGACATGATTACGCTGTGAGACACTGATGCTAACTCCTGTCACTTTCCCTTCCAAGTTCTGGGAATTCCCTGGGTAGAGGGGTAAGAGAATTCATGGTAATTAAGGCTTACTATGTGTACATTACTATACTAGGAGCTTCACACGCATTACTTCACTAGATCCTCTTTCCAGCTATTCATTCATTCATCCACTTGACAAATGCTTATTGCTCTCCTACTATGTGTCAGGCACTGTGCTATATAATAGGATTAATGATGAATGCAACAGATGTGCCCTTTCTCTCCAGGAGCTTGCAGCCTGGGGCGGGGTGGGGAGAGACATTAACCAGATAACCCCACATGTAAATGTAAATGTGCTACTGTGAGAAGCTTAAGAAGGGGAGATTTATGCTTCAAGGAGAACTCATTAATAGAAAGCTTAACTGAGATCAGAAAAAGCTTCCTTGAGAAAGTTGCACCACAGCTGAAATGTGAAGAATGAGTATGAATTAAGTAGGTGAGGAGGAGAAAGTTTTCCAAGAACAGACAACAGGGTTGTGCAAAGAATCTGTGGCAAGAGGGGCATGGTAAGTACAAAAATGGGAAAAGGCCATCATGGCTGGAGTTGGGAAAGTGAAAGAGCAGTGGAAAACCACTGAGCATTAACAACCAGGGAGCAGTGGTGATAACGAGAGGGATTAATAAGAATTGTTGTATGGAAAATGAACTGGAAGGGGTAGAGTAGATGCTGGTCAAGTTAGGAGATATTATCTTCATTCTGACAAGAGATGGATGATCGAGGCTAGACTGGAGTGTTGATAGTGGAGATAGGAAAGGAATGGGTTACGCTATATTTAGAAGATAAAAATCCACCTGACTTGGTGCTGGGTTACTTATGGGGAGGGTCATGATGAGGAAGAGGGGTATTAACGCTAACTTGATGTCTAGCTTGCCCAAAGGAATGGAGGATCCACTAAAATGTCCACTCCGTGAGAGTGTCTGTTTGGGTCACAGCTCTGTCTCCTGTGCCTGGCATATAGTTGGTGTTCAATCAATATTTACTGAATAACAGTGTTGGCAATTAATGATGAGAATATGAAAAGAGGCCAGACTTGGAGAAGAAGATCATGAGTTCAGGTTTGTACCTGTTGAGTTTCAGATGCCTTTCAACAGTCAAGAAGAGTTGTCAAGTGAACTTCAGAGTAAAGGTTGGCACTAACAATATTAGAACTTGGGAGTCATTCATTATAAGTGATCATTAAAGCTACAGCATGGATGAGATGCATTCATTCAAAGCACTAAGTGAAGAAAACAGTCCCTGTCCTCATGGAGCTTATAATCTAAAGGAGGGAAACAAAATAAATAAGCAACTGAATAATAAACTTGGTAGCTATAGCACCACAGTTCTTGATTAAAATATCTAAGGAGAGTTGAGAAGTCTGATTTTTCAAGAAATTGTTTAGTCTAAAAATATGAATGTGTGGCCCTCTGAGTTTGGGGGAGATAAGAGTTGGGATGGGTTGCTTTTTTATATAGACTTCTCTGTGAAATCATTCCTAATTAGATACCACTTGAGTAGAGATTTGAAGCAAATGAAGGGGTAATCCATGTGGCTCTGTTAGGCAGGAGTGTTCTAGGCAGAGAGAACAGCAGATGCAAAGGTTCTGAGGTGGGACCACACTGGGCATGGTGGAGGAACAGTGAGAAGCCCATGTGACTGGGGTAGAGTGAGAAGAGAGTGATTAGTAGGAGATGAAGTCAGCAAGCTACTCCTGGGATTAGGGACAAATCTTATAGGACTTTTTCAGCCATAAAAGAACTGAGGCTTTTATTGTGAATGAGAAAAGAGCCATTGGAGGAGGGCAGTGACATGACGTCACTTCGATTTTAAAATATGGCTTTGGCTGTGGGTTGAGAATAGATTGTGGAGAGGAAGAAAGTCCAATTAGGAGGCTTGGGCCGAGATGCACCTTGAGGGAGAGGTGATGAGAAGTAGTCAGCTTCTTGCTGACATTACTTCATTTGAAGGTGGAGCTGGCGGGATTTGCCAAGACTTGACTATGGGAAGTGAGAGGAAGAAAGGATTCAAAGATGCCACCAGGGTTCTATTCTGAGGACAAGAAGGACAGAGGCCCCATTCACTGAAATGACAAAAGCGAAAGGAAGAGCACGTTTCAGGGGGAAATCAGGAGGTTAGCTTTAGACGCATTTGGTATTGCATATCCAATTGGAGATGTCAGACTGACTAAAGAAAGATTACAGAGGGAGAGGAGCAGAGAAAAGGGACTTGGACCAAACCCCATGGTTAAGTAACATAATATGAGCCTGCAAAGGAAACAGAGGAAACGACCGTAAAGGTAAGAGAAACGCAGGAGAATGTTGACACATAGTTCAAGTAATGGCGTTTCAAGAAAAAGAGACAGAGATCTGAACTATCCACTGAGAACTGAAAATTATTGGTGAGATGTAGCAATATAGACCTTAGCCACAGGTGTTCAGGGAAGTGCAGATACCAGAAACTAGACAATAGTGGATGCAGCAGGTTGAGGAAGAGAAGAGACAGCCGCAAATGCTTTCAAGAATTCTGGGTATGAAGCTATGAACAAGCTGTGCACGGCAGTTACAATTATTCCCAGTTTTTAGTTTAGAAACTGAGGCCTAGAGAATTCACTTGCCCAGGGTCAGGCAGATATTAAGGGGTGAAACGGGGATTTGAAAGAAGGGAAGTGTGATCCCCACATCCCATGCTTATTTCCAAGTCATGACAGGTGTCGTTGGTTCCTGTGAACCCAAGAGGATGAGAGAAGACAGATTAAAAATATCACAGAGGTGGAAAAGAGATCTCTGGCACAAGTAAACAAGAACAGGCGAAACCTACACTGACCAACCTGTCCAGATGCCAAGAAGAGCATGTGGTTTTTCCCGAAGGTTGGGGCTCTCTGGTTGGCTTCCCAGGGAGGCCCTGGGAGCACATTGCCAGCAGGCTCTGGCTGCAGCACCATTACAGTTTTGCAAATACTGTGCTCTCAAATATGTCATTTTCCTTAATCCCCATCCCCGCAATCCCAAAACAGTCTATAACAATTTGCATATTTACTGTTCTGTGGGCACATACAGTGAAATGAGCAACAGGGTTTGCAAATACTTATTTTGTAAGGTCTTCCCTTAAGTCTTGACTTCCGTTCCAATTCAACAAAGATGTATTGTGCAGTGCATGGCAATGTGCTGTGGGAATTGCAAAGATGAATAATTACAGTTCATCCATAAAATGGAATAGTGTGCAACCATTAAAGATCATGCTTCAGGAGAACAGCAATGCGGGGAAGCGCTCGTGTTCCACATACTATGTGTCCAAAGGGAAAGAGAGGAAGGAAGGCGTGAAAGAGAGAGGAGGGGAAAGAGATATCTTGAAGGTGGATAGTAAAAGGCTATACTAAAATATCAACAGAGGCTAGCTCTGGAGGGTTGCATCCCTGATCATTCATTTTTCTGTATATAGCTCTCCGATTTCCTATGTTTCCTACAAGGTATACATATTGCTTCCATAATTAAAATGGTAATAAATGATGCTTTAAAGCAGAAGCATGAGGCATCATGTTGGTCCTCCAGGGGCTTACTTAGATTTTAGGGATTTATCTGCCCTTTGCTCCCATCCCCCAGGAACAAAAATCGACTAGGTGAGATAATCATAGAAACAAGCAACCAAAATAAATGGCAAACTATGATACATGTTTTTGTTTTTGTTTTTGTTTTGTGTGCGTGGCCACCTCTGCAGAATGGACTGGCCCCTAAACCTGCAAACTCCTTTATTTTCTGCCTTGTTGCTGCTGGACTGTAATCTATGCTGCCAGTTAAGTATCGCTTCATATCTCTCTTTCCTCCTCCACTACCTTGCAAGCACCCAAGGTTTCTCTGGGTCCCCACAGCCTGGCATCATGGCTAGTTTATGTGTTCTGCTGCTTGCTGTAGTAGTGAATGGGTCACCCTCTTCCACATCTTGCTCCTCGTCTCCATAGCTCCGATGTGAATTACCTCATTGAAGAAGCTGCCAAAATGGAAAAGATAAAGTTTCAGCACATTGTGTCCATCTACGGGGTGTGCAGGCAGCCCCTGGGCATTGTGATGGAGTTCCTGGCCAACGGCTCCTTGGAGAAGATACTGCCCACCCACAGCCTCTGCTGGCAGCTCAGGTTCCGCATCATCCATGAGACCAGCTTGGCCATGAACTTTCTGCACAGCATTAAGCCGCCTCTGCTCCACCTGGACCTCAAGCCGGGAAATATCCTCCTGGACAGCAACATGCATGTCAAAGTAAGGGCTCTGACCGATCCCCTTCCCCCTTTCACTTGAGGATTCCCTCCAGGTGAGCAGAATTATCCACCTGCCTGACTGGCCTGTCAAGAGTTTTAAGCAGTTCCCTTCATGGACATATTCTAAAGGCAGGGATCACACTGCAACACAGAAGGCTAAGCAGTGAAATTTGGGGCATGAGGCTGGGTAACCCTCTTCGGACTCAGTTTCCCATTTCTAAATTGGATAGAATAATCTCTATTCACCCACACTTTCTTTTATTCAGATGGAGATGTGTGTAAATGAGACAATCCCTAAGAAAGGTCATAATGGACATTTTTTCACTTTCTAAAACACCCTGCACTCTTTTCTGCCCCAGAACCTTTGCACCTTCTGTTCCCCCACTGCCCCCTATTTATCTAGCAAATGCATACCCACTACTCAGCTCTCAGCCTAAACATCACCTCCTCAGAGAGGTCTTCTCTGATCTACTCCAGCAGGTGCCCATTATATACTGTCATTGTACCTGATTCTCCATACTCCTAATCCCAACGTAAGTGTACAATCATTTGTGAAACACTTTTATTAAGGACTGGATCCCCTATCTGAATAAGTGTGTGTGTTGGCGGGGGTGAGGGGGCTGTCTCTTTTTCCTTATCTGCTGCCCAGTCCTTGGTCCACAGCCATACTGGCCCTCAATGCATGTCCAACTTGGCAAGTGAATGAATGACCCAACGTATGGGAGCAAAGGGAAGGTAAATTCCCTAAATGTCCATTGTATACGTGTTTCAGGGTCCCTGGAGGTGGGATAAACAGCCCACTGAAGGTGGAAACTTTGTCCATAGTCTCTGGGTAATGGTAACATCTACCACGTCCTAACTACATGCCAGGCACTGTTTAAGTGCTTTTTGCATGGTACCTCCTTTAGTGCTCACAATAGCACTGAGTTAAATGCTCATATTACTAATACTTTAAAGATGAAGAAACTGAGGCTCTGAGAAGATGAGTAATTTGGCCAAGATCATCCAGAGAGTGAGTGGTAGCACTAGGAGAGAGTGTCGTAAAAAACCACTACTCTACCCTGGAACAGGCAGATCGCAGTGCGGCTGAGAAGCCATAGCTGTTTTCTGGTCACTAGGCTCTGTCACGGCCTTATCCTGGCCCCTGCTTTCTCCCAGATTTCAGACTTTGGCCTTTCTAAGTGGATGGAACCGTCCACCCAGATGCAGTACATTGAGAGATCAGCTCTGCGGGGCACGCTCAGCTACATTCCCCCTGAGATGTTCCTGGAGAGTAACAAGGCCCCAGGGCCCAAATATGATGTGTACAGGTGAGAGGGAGGCCACCCAGCAGGCAGCTCGCTGCCACCACCCTACCTGGCCCATATGGCCCAAAGGGCAAGGCAGCGCAGGGATAAGGTCTGGCCCAAAGCGGAGGGCTAGGGAGGACTCTGGCTGGAGAGGCAGAGGGCTGGGGAGGACTCTGGCTGGAGAGGTGGACGGGTGCGGTAGACTCTGGCTGGAGAGGTAGAGGGATAGAGAGGACTCTGGCTGGAGAGGCTTGCCTGGGACTGTGTGAACCATAGGCCCTCTGTGCTGGAGTGATCTTGTATGTTCAACTAAATCATTCAGAAAGCATTTTCTGCATCCACAGCTTTGCAGTTGTCATCTGGGAGCTCCTCACTCAGAAGAAACCATACTCAGGTAGCAGGCAGCTGTGGCTCTGTGTGGGGTGGCAGAAGGGCCCCTGGGATGGGCTCCTGGGTGGGGCTGTGGGAAGACTGAGGTTGAAAGGGAGCTCAGTGGCAGGTTTATATGGAACTGTATTCTCTTCAAGGATTCCTCTCCTCACCCTCCTTCTTTCCTGCCTCTATTTCTAGAGCTCATGTCACAGCTAAGGAAAGAAAAAGTCAGCCCAGCCCCCAGCCCATGCTTTGTGGCTCCAACTTCCTTATTTCCAAAGTGCCCTTTCTGCCTTCTCATACCCCTGCCCCCTGCCCTCTAGATGCCAGGTGAAAAGAATGCAGGAAACTTGGGCAACCTTGCAATGTTGAGAGTCAGAGCCTTTGCCTAGGCCTGTCTATCAGCTCTGCTGCCTTTGGACAGCACAGACCTGCAATGTTGGGTCATGTCTGGTCTGGGATTTGGCTGGAGCCAGATGGAACCTCAAGTCAGTTGAAAATCTAGCTGTTTACTCACCGAGCATTTGTGGGGCCTCCACTGCATGCATACACGGTCAGGATCCTCAGAGCCCCCGCTTTCCTCTCCAGCTCCCCTCTAGCCCTACCTCCCAGCACCCACATAGCCTGGGCCTCCCTTGCAGGTTTCAACATGATGATGATTATTATCCGAGTGGCGGCAGGCATGCGGCCCTCCCTGCAGCCTGTCTCTGACCAGTGGCCAAGCGAGGCCCAGCAGATGGTGGACCTGATGAAACGCTGCTGGGACCAGGACCCTAAGAAGAGGCCATGCTTTCTAGGTGCTCATCCAGCATCCTCTACCCAGGGACTGGGAACTGGGCAGGGTTGGGAGGGGAGATGACTGAGTATTCCTGGGAGCTGGCCTAGAAGAACTTTTTTTTTTTTTTTTTTTTTTTTTTTTTCAGAAACAGGGTCTCTGTGGCCCAGGCTGGAGTGTGGTGGTGCGATCATACCTCACCATAAGCTCAAACTCCTGGGCTCAGGAGATTCTCCCACCTCAGCCTCCTGAGTAGCGAGAACTACAAGCACATCACCATGCCTGGCTAATTTTTAGATTTTTTTTTTCAAGGGGTGGGGTCTTGTTATGTTACTCAGGCTGTTCTCAAACTCCTGGCCTCAAGCAATCCTCCTACCTCATCCTCCCAAAGTGCTGGGATTACAGGCGTGAGCCACTGTAGCTGGCCTAGAAGGCCTTTTTTGGTTTTTTCTTTTGTGTTTTTTTTTGTGTGTGTGTGATGGAGTTGCACTCTTGTTGCCCAGGCTGGAGTGCAACGTGGCACAATCTCAGCAACCTCCGCCTCCTGGGTTCAGGTGTTTCTCCTGCCTCAGCCTCCTGAGTAACTGGGATTACAGGCACAAGCCACCACGCCCAGCTCATTTTTGTATTTTTAGTAGAGATTGGGTTTCTCCATGTTGGTCAGGCTGGTCTCGAACTCCTGACCTCAGGTGATCCACCCACTTTGCCCTCCCAAAGTGCTGGGATTACAGGCATGAGCCACTGCACCTGGCACTAGAACTTTTTAAGGCAGACTGCATCACGGGGCTGGCAGGGTGGCACTGGGAGCCAGGAGCAGCTGAGGATGGGGTCTGGGCTCTGCGTGTGTTAATGCGTGTCCCTGTGGAAGGTAGAGTAGAAATCCTCAGTATCAAAAGGCAGAAGCCACAGCATCTGGGCCTGGCCCTGTCACCAAGCTCTCCAGGGCTGTCCAGGCAGCCCTGGGTTCTTTCAGAGCTACTGTTTCCTTATTTGTAACATGTTTCCAGGCTATGAGGTCACAGGCTGGGGGTGGCCCATAAGGTTAACCAGTTCTATGGGGACTTTGAAAATGCACCTGTTTGTAAGTGTGAGCATCTTAGAGATCCCCTAGACTTGCCCCCTCATTCTGTGGGCAAGGATCCTGATAACTCAGAGGATCAGTGCCTTGCTAAAGGTGCCTCACCATGACCCAGGTTTTCTGCCTTCTTGTGCATCTATATGAACGTATGTGAGCCCAGGAATGGATTTTGGGAGGATACAGGAATGTTAGGGTATTTAAAATAGGGAGGGTACTGCCGGCCAGCCTGCCGCTTCCTTTCCTCTCCTTCTCCCCCTCATGGAGCAGACATTACCATCGAGACAGACATACTGCTGTCACTGCTGCAGAGCCCTGTGGCAGACCCACAGAGCGAGGCCCTGACCAGGAAGGTGTCTTGCAAGCTGTTGCTGCACCAGCCCCTGGAGGTGAGTATGTGGACTGGGCAGTCCTTACAGTCATGCTAAGTTGGAGCCCAGTGTGTGGACTGTTGTAACTTCTGGTCAGATACAGAGCACTCATGCACAGCCCAGTTCAGGGCTTCCTCCATCCAAAGGGGACACCTTTCCCTAATTTGTGGGAAGGTGCTCCAAGGGATAGTGGTAGCTGAAGCGCAGAGCCCCTAGGAAGGACATACCTTCTCTCACATGTTTGGGACCAAGCAGAGTCCCGTCCTGCAGAGGAAGACCTGGCTTTCCCAAGCTTTCATGCTGTGGGTATCAACACCATCCCTCTGCTCTCCTGTCCCTACTCTAACATGGAAACCAACCATGTATTGGCATGGGGCTCCCCTGGCTGAACTCACAGATCCACCCTGAAGTTCAAGTGGCCCAAGGGGAAGGTAAGGCCCTGAGCTGCCTCTTTCTTGAGGGTCTCTCCTGCTCAGTGTTTTCCTTTAGACAGCTGGAGATAGTCATGGCAAAGGATAAGGGTCTCCCAGAACAGGGTGGGATATGAGTCCTGACAGTGACCAGGAACGCTCGAGAGAGGGGAGGAGGGCACAGCCTAGAACTGTGCCACCCACCTGCCCTTTGCCTGCTGGTTATGCCTCCTCAGGTTAATGAAGACATCAACCAGGAACTGATGGACAGCGGTGAGTCCGGGTGCCACAGATGGGACCACAGAATCACAGCAGAGAAAGTAAAGTCAAACCACACCCTCTCCCCATCCCCCTAATCTCTCCCTCCTCCCCAGGCCTGTCACACATCCAGGGTTTGGGGACTCTTTTCCAGCACCCAGCTGCATGCTCAGAAATGCACATCCCCTCACGGAGCCTAGCTGCCTCCCCTTCAGGTCTGTGTCCCTCCAAGACCAGATTTCCCCTTTCCTGACCTGAGAGGTGAAGGATTGGTTCTCAAAGCTGCTGCATGTTAGAATTGCTCGGAAAATTTAAATAAAAATGTTTTGCCTTGGGCATACCCTAGACTGAGTAAACCAGTGGAGGTTAGGCCTTGGTAGTGATCATTTTTGTCGTTTTAATTCTAATACTCCACTGGGTAGAGCAGGAGGATGGTGATCCTTAAGACCCAGAGGGGAGTTTAGACCGTAGAGCTGTAACCACAAGCCTATTTCCAACTTACACTTACTTCACCTCAGGCCCTCACCTGAAAGTTCTTAGCTACGTAATTTGTCCTTCCACTGGTCCAATGAGCTGATCATGGTTTGTCCCATCTTTGCTGATCCAGATATGGATGCTCAAAGAGGCAGAGAATTGGCTAAGGTCAGGGGATGCTGAGGGGTGGAATCAGGATTTATACCCAGGCCTCTTGAGCCCACTGCTCTTTCCACCTCATCTATGGGGAAAGGACTGCAGGACTCAGCTCTCCACGATGTTAGGACTCCAGGACTCAGCTCTCCAGGAGTCTGAACTCGAATAGTAACAATCATGACTGTGTAGAGAGCCTTGCTTAGGAAAGGCACTGCCCTTCCTGCTCTAGCTTCTGTTCCTGGATGGTACTTCCAGGAGACAGGGGGATGGCCGTGATGACCTCTGGACAAGTCACACATCTTTTTTTTTTAATCCCATCTTCCTCCCAGCAGACTCAGGAAACTACCTGAAGAGGGCCCTTCAGCTCTCCGACCGTGAGAATTTGGTCCCAAGCGATGAGGAGCTGCGCACCTATGAGAACAAGGTCACCCCCCTCCACTTCCTGGTGGCCCAGGGCAGTGTGGAGCAGGTGAGGCTGCTGCTGGCCCACGAGGTAGACGTGGACTGCCAGACGGCCTCTGGATACACGCCCCTCCTCATCGCCGCCCAGGACCAGCAACCCGACCTCTGTGCCCTCCTTTTGGCACATGGTGCCAATGCCAACCTGGTGGACGAGGATGGCTGGGCCCCCCTGCACTTTGCAGCCCAGAATGGGGATGACCGCACTGCGCGCCTGCTCCTGGACCATGGGGCCTATGTGGATGCCCAGGAACACAAGGGGTGGACCCCCCTTCACCTGGCTGCACAGAACAACTTTGAGAATGTGGCACAGCTTCTGATCTCCCGTCAGGCTGACCCCAACCTGCATGAGGCTGAGGGCAAGACCCCGCTCCACGTGGCTGCCTACTTTGGCCATGTTAGCCTGGTCAAACTGCTGACCAGCCAGGGGGCGGAGTTGGACGCTCGGCAGAGAAACCTTAGAACACCACTGCACCTGGCAGTGGAGCGGGGAAAGGTGAGGGCCATCCAACACCTGTTGAAGAGTGGAGCAGCCCCCAATGCCCTTGACCACAGTGGCTACAGCCCACTGCACACTGCAGCTGCCAGGGGCAAATACCTGATCTGCAAGATGCTGCTGAGATACGGAGCCAGTCTCGAGCTGCCCACCCACCAGGGCTGGACACCCCTGCATCTAGCAGCCTACAAGGGCCACCTGGAGATCATCCACCTGCTGGCTGAGAGCCACGCAAACATGGGTGCCCTTGGAGCTATGAACTGGTCTCCCCTGCACCTAGCTGCACGCCACGGGGAGGAGGCGGTGCTGTCGGCATTGCTGCAGTGTGGGGCTGACCCCAATGCTGCAGAGCAGTCAGGCTGGACACCCCTCCACCTGGCAGTCCACAGGGGCACCTTTATGAGTGTCATCAACCTTTTGGAACATCACGCAAACGTCCGCGCCCGCAACAAGGTGGGCTGGACCCCTGCCCACCTGGCTGCCCTCAAGGGCAACACAGCCATCCTCAAAGTGCTGGTCAAGGCAGGTGCCCAGCTGGACGTCCAGAATGGAGTGGGTTGCACGCCCCTCCAGCTGGCCCTCTGCAGCCAGAAGCAGGGCATCATGACCTTCCTCGAGGGCAAGGAGCCATCAGTGGCCACTCTGGGTGGTTCTGAGCTGGGAGCCCAAATATAAATTTAGATGACTTGGCCAGGCATGGTGGCTCACGCCTGTAATCCCAGCACTTTGGGTGGCTGAGGCAGCAGATCATCTGAAGTTGAGAGTTCGAGACTGGACTGGCCAACATGGAGAAACCCTGTCTCTACTAAAAATACAAAAATTAGCTGGGTGGTAGCACATGCCTGTAATCCCAGCTACTCAGGAGGCTGAGGCAGGAGAATTGCTTAAATCGGGGAGGCAGAGGTTCCAGTGAGCCGAGACTGTGCCACTGCACTCCAGCTTGGGTGACAGAGTGAGACTCCATATCAAAAGAAAGAAAGAAAGGAAGGAAGGAACGAAGGAAGGAAGGGAAGGAGGGAGGGAGGGAGGGAGGGAAGGAAGGAAGGAAGGAAGGAAGGAAGGAAGGAAGGAAGAAATTAATTTAGACAACTTGAGGTCCCTCGCCTGTATGGATTGGAATCAATGGAAGTGCAACTGGGCTTCTGGCAGGGCGTCTTCCCCTTCTGTGCTCTTCACCTGCCCCTTCGACATTGAGAGGAGAAAGGGACCTGGGTGACGGAGGCGTGGGGAGGGGATCACTGTGGCCGTAGCTGAAGAATGGGCCCTGGCTTGGAGAGCTGCCTTCAACACACCCTCCAAGTCACTTCCAACAGACCCCAGGCCTCCTCCTCCTCCTTTAGGGGGACACAATCCCCCCCAAATGAATTTCCTCTCCAGTCCAAGACACCTAGCATCTTTTGCTACCTGCCTCTGAGTTCACAGGGGCCCTTTCATCCTAGCAGAACCCCCTTCTGAAGATGGAGGGAGGCACAGCGGTGAGGGAAGTGAGATTCTCCCATCTCTTGCCTTGTGTTCTTGGCTCTTTACCTCAGGCTGGGGCAGGAGAGCCAGACGCACGTGCTTTGCCCAAGGGGCAGAAGCTAAAAGTTCAAAGGAGGTTTCTGCTCTCTATTTAAAGTCCTAGCCAGCCACCTGTTGCCACACTGACCATATCTTTCCAGTGCCCCGGGTCCCAATGCCTGGGTCTCCCACATGACCTCTTGGGGGTATAGAAAGGGTGCACTTCAACTGTGGATAAGTCACCCTATGGAGATGTGAGGTCCCTGGTCCAGCGCAACCCTTTATCGTGTCCGGTTTTATGGCCAGGTTTCAAACTCTGAAATCAAGAAAACTGTGGCTCTGAGTTTCCTGTTTAGAGATGGATTGACCTGTGGAGCCAAGTTGCATATAGAGGCCAATAGTGTTAGTATGGTGTCCTTGTGTGTGTATGCAATTTGTCTAATGTAAGGTATGTGTGTGTGCTTATGTGTGTGTGAGTTCACATAAAGGCAGGAGGCAGGGGCAGCAGAGGGAGTTGGAGGTGGGGGGTGTTGATGGTGAGGGGTGGGCTATTTGGACTCAGTATGGGGCTTGCAGGGCTCATTTTTGTGACCACACCCAGGCACCTATCACCTGTCCTGTCCTGTCCTGCTGGTTGTGGCTAGAGCTGTTCACACTAACTTTATGTGACCAGAGCCCTATAGCTCAGCTTCCAGGAGAACAGCCACAATTGGGAGGAAGTGGGGACAGGATGAGTGTCCTGGGGTCCTAACCTGCTCCTTCTACCTCCCCACACTGCTGGACAGTGCAGTAGAAGCAGCCCTTCCCACTCAAGGATGTTTTGCAATTGTCAAAAAAAAAAGGAATCATCTGTCCCAACTATTGGCCAGCTCTGAGCCAAGCTGATTGGCAGGCCTGCCTCTATATGTCATTCTCCTGGGCTGGGCACTCCAGGCTGGGCATGTGGCCAGCAGCCTGGCATCAACATGGGGTGAGAGAGGTGGGGCAGAGGAAATCTTTTGCCCATGTGCAGTCCTGCTGAATTAACAAGTCCCTTTCAGCAGAGCTAGCAGCTTTGTGTCCTCTGTCACTTGGCCTCTGGACCATTGCTCCAGCCTGTTGGACCCTGGGTCCTTCACCACCACCTTGCCATAGCTTATAGCCACCATGGAAAGCCAGATGTGAGCCCAGGAATCTAGGGTGTGTCCTAGAGCCAGGGCTATAAACTAAACTTGCACATTAGAATCTCCTGAACAAGGGGCTTTTAAAATGTACCAACACCTGGCCCTACCCTCAACCAATTAAACCAGAACCTCCAGAGTGGGATCCTGCTGTAAGCACCACTGACAATTCCCAGATGAATCTAAAGAGTACCCAGAGCTGAGAGGCACTGGATCATCCCATGGTTTCTCTCGCCCCCTTTTTAGCAAAATCTTGCAGTCAATAGCCAGCAGCCTGGGTGTTCAGAGGTCTTTTTCTCTCCCATTTGGATTCCTGGGGACCGGAGGCAGGGGCCACTCAGCTGACTGTTCCATCCTCCTACTCCCTGCTAGCTGCCCAGCTCAATGTCTTCAGGCTCACTGAGACTAAGCCTTAGGCAAACTTGTAGTTAAAGAAGCCTCTAGGAGTTCTATCTTTCCCAGAACATGCGAGAGCAGGAGGGAAGCAGAGGAGGCACAGGGCTGTTTGTTTCTCCTTCCACTCTGAAATCTGAGTCTAACTCTAAATCTAGGATTCTACGAGAGCCAGAGAAGGGTCTGGGGCTACATTCTCCCAGCCAGCGGAGCTCAGATCCATCAGTGGGAGTGATCGCGAGGGAACCAAAGGAGGAGAAGAGTGGCTGGCTGATCCTGCTGGAAAGAGCTGAGAACTGAGAAAAAGCCTTGAAAAAAGGAGTTAGAAAAGGCAGGTGATCCTTTTGTACCTAGTGTTCAGTGGCTGACAGAGATGCCATGGAGAAGTGGACAGACTGTGTCCGGGAATCATTCCAGCCCTGGTGATCCTGAGTCTGAAGGAGATTCCTCCATGTCCTTCCTCTAAGAGAGAACAGGAGTGGTGACTTCAGGCCAGCCCTGGCCAACATGGTCCCAAATTGCCTATCAGCATCCTCTTCTGCCCTCTCAAACCACTTCTAGCCAGACACAGACACACACACAAATACACTCAGTATCCACCTTGAGTCCCATTCCAACGCAGCTACCTTCTAGGGCTTCCCTAGGAATGTTTAAAATTGGGTTTGAATGAGGCCCTTGAAATTCCCAAGGAGAGGATCTCTAGTTGAAGTTGAAGCCCTATTTAGGGGACACTGGGGATTGGGAGATAAGAGCTCCCCAATTTCTTACTGGGCATCTCCACTTGGAGGTCCCGTAGACTCCTAAAACTAGAGTGTCTGAAACTGAGCATTCTCTTCTCCCTCCGCAAGCCTGACTTCACCCTTTATATCCCATTTCAGTTGAAGGTATCCAAACTCCTAACTAGGAGCCATTCTGGACCAGCACCAGGAGGATGGAAATCTACATCCGCACTGCTCAGTAGGATAGCCGCCAGCCACAGGTGCTGCTGAGCACTTGAAATGTGGCTAGTGTGACCAAGGAATCAAGTTTTTTTATTTCAGTAAACTAAATGTGGGTAGCTAGCAAAGTCTATACCTGTCTCGCCTCCTCCAGGTGGTTGCCGTGTGGCGAGGGGTTGATCGGGGGTGAGGGCTTTCTGGGAGATGTGGATGTTGAGAGGACAAGGACAGAGCAGAAGAGGAGCAAAGCCTGGACTGGACTGAAGGGGAGAGGACTGGCTGGTTAATGTGAAAGAGACACAGCTACTATGGGAGCAGACAGTGACCAGCTGATGGAGGGACAGTGCTATCCAGGCGCAGGTCAGGGAGGTGTGTATTCTGTGGGAGACCTTAACGTCCATTTTGATTTGGAGCTCCCATGCAGGATGGGGGGCAGTTGGGAGCTGTAATCGGTTTCCCAGCAGAAGGAGGATGCAATCAGAACATGCCATGCATCCTAAAGACCTCTTCAGCTGTGCACAGAATGAGGAAATGGGGGACAGTGGTGGGAAATGGGGATCCTGCCCTAGGGGCTTCAGAGCCAGGCACACCCGGGTTGGCATCCCAATTCTGCCCTTTGCTAGCTGTGGACTTCACCCAGACTTTCTGGGCTGCAGCATCTGTATTTATAACAGATTTGTTATCTCAGGGATGCACTTAGATCACACATATCTCCAGCACCCATTGGCACTCACCGTCACTTCTCTCGTCTTCCAGCTTTCTGCTCCTGTCCTTTCTCACCAATGTTGCTCAGGTAACCCCCTCATTACCCTTTACCCATGTGACAGCTTCCTTTCCCATCCTAAACTCTGCTTGAACCAATCCAGCCCACCACAAGGAGGACATTACTGGATTCTGAGAGATGGCACCCCCTAGCCAGAGACACAGATAGCCCAGATTGTTCCACCTGGATGCCTTCTTGTGCTGGAAATGGAAGCTGTTGGTGGAACCCTCCAATTATGAAGCCGGGAATCCTAAAGGAGCAGGGAGGCTTGGCAAGCTGTCTCTACAGCAAAGTGTAGGGCAGAGGCCCAAACGGGCTACCGCATCTGTCTAGAAGGGAGGTGGGATTGCAGGGATCAGCAAAAATCTCATCAGGGCTGTAAAAGGCCTATAGGAAATGAGGAGACTGGGGAGACCATGTCCCTCTCCAAAGCCAACCTGGGGGGACTGAGCCCCAGGGAGAGAATGACAAGCCGCAGGGCTGAGGAGGGGAGGATGCAGAGCTCTGGGCCTGTGGCAGGGAGGAGGGGAAGGAGGGAGCCCCAGGACTCCCTGAACACGCAGATGGCAGCTCTGGGATGAGCCTGTGTTCAGGACCATTCCTTCCCTGATGGCCCTGCACTTACCTATAACACACATCTCACCAACAGGTGAGGGCCTCCAGGGAGTTGGGGCTCCAGTCCACTCTGAAACCCAGCAAGCCTTGCTGCAGCACCCAACAGCCCCAGTCCCCTCTTCCTGCTAATGCTGAGCCCCCTTCTCCCACCAGTGTCTGCTGGGGTCCTTCCAGGTCCAACTTGCCTGTCCCTGCCCATGAAGACTTCTCTGCTTGCCCCCCTGGAGGTGACCACTCCTTCCCCAAGGTCATTATGTGACAATGCCCAGTGCAGTGAGGTCGACAGAGCTGCTCTCAGGTCCACCTTCCTTGCTCATTGTATGCCACATCACCATGCCCTGCTTGTTTCTGTGTACTGTCCAGTCCTCTTAGTGCCCTGGCGTCTGGGTGCAGAGGGTACTTTCTCCCTGCTCATTGAATCAGACTAAAGGCAGCAGGGGGTTTTGGGTGTACGGTAATGT